CTGAGAAATGCCTCAAGCACAGTACATCATGTATTAAATGGTACAGCACAAAATAAGATAGGAACTGCAGTACAGGGAGGGCATTCTGGGATGTTCATGTTCAGTATATGCTAACTTATCTCATCAAAAGAAGATACCACACTTTCTACCTATCCTGGGAGAGGACAGAGAGTCACAGAGTCATACAACACAGAAATAGACACTTCTCTTCCTATTTGTCCGCATCCCAATCTGACCTGGCCAGCATTCAGCCCATATCCCTCTAAACCCTTCCTATTCATATACCCATCCACATGCCTTTTAAATGTTGTAATTGTACCTGCTTCCACCAATTCCACTGGCAGCTTGTTCAGACACACACCACCCTCTGCATGAAAATGTTACCCCTCTGGTCCTTTGTAAGTCTTTCCCCTCTCACCTTAAATCTATGCCCGCTAGTTTTGGACTCCCCTACCCTGGGATAAAGATATCACCTCATCTATGTCCCTCATGATTTTATAAACCTCTATAAGGTCACCCCTCAGCCTCCAACAATCCAGGGGAAATGCCCTGGCCTATTCAGCCTCTCCTTATACCTGAAACCTGGTTCAGACCTGGCAACATCCTTGTAATTTCTTTTAGCACCCTCTCAAGTTTAAAACAACTTTCCTTCAGAAGTGTGACCAAAATTGTATGCAGTATTCTAAACATTGCCTCGCCAATGTCCTGTACAGCGGCAAAATGACATTCCAAACCCAAAACTCAATGATCTGACCAATGAAGGCAGGTGTGCCAAATGCCTTCTTTACCACCCTGTTTACCTGCGACTCCACTTTCAAGGAACTATGCACCTGCACCACTAGGTCTCTCTTTTTGGTAACACTCCCCAGAGCTCTACCATTAAGTGTATAAGTCCTGCCCTGATTTGCCTTACCAAAATGCAAGACCTCACATCCATCTAAATTAAACTCCACCTGCCACTGCTCGATCCATTGGCCCATCTGATCAATGTCCTGTTGTACTCTGAGATAATCTTCTTCACTGTCCACCACACCACCTATTTTGGTGTCATCCACAAACTTACTAAGCACAGAGTGGTATGGTAGCTCAATGGTTCAGTGGTTAGCACTGCTGCCTCACAACAGCAGGGACCCAGGTTCAATTCCGGCCTCGGGCAACTGTCAGTGTGGAGTTTGCACGTTCTCCACGTAGTCTGTGTGAGTTTCGTCCACATGCTCTGGTTTCCTCCCACAGTCCAAAGGTATGCAGATTAAGTAGATTGGCCTTGCTAAATTGTGCATAGTATCCAGGGATGTACAGGCCAGATGGATTAGCCATGGAAAATACAGGGTAGGGGGGTAGGTCTGGGTAGAATGCTCTTCAGAGGGTCACTGTGGACTCAATAGGTTGAATGGCCTGCTTCCACACTGTAGAGATTCTAATGATTTTGGCACCCTTCCAACTCAGGTGGAACCTAACCTTCATATACATGTCATTTCTACCCCTGAAGAGACTCCAATGATCCAAAAATGTGAATCCTTGACCTCTCACCAGCTCCTCAGCCACACATTCATCTGCTCTACCTCCTTTCTCTACTCTGTCTAGCATGTGCCATTGGTAATAGTCCAGATATTGGTACCCTCGAGGTCCTACTTTTTAAACTCCTGGAGAACCTCAAGCCTTTCCCCACCCATGTCATTGGTACCATGGCCAGTGATCATACAGAACTATGTTATCAATGTATAAATTTAAAAAGGCTAAAATTGTGCCATTTGATGCAGAGAAATTTTCAGCTGGCATGCAGCATAAGAGATAAGATATCCAGTGGTTTTAATGCTCAGCACTTGTCCAAAACTTGTTTTTCCTCATGGAGAGGAGACATAGTAGCAGCATTCAAGAAGCACCTGGACGAATACTTGAATAGGAATGGAATAGAAGGATACAGATCCTGTCAGTGAAGACAGTTTTTGTACAGAAGGGCAAAATATGTTGGCGCAGGCTTGGAGGGCTGAAAGGGCCTGTTCCTGTGCTGTATTGTTCTTTGATCTTTGCATAGAGAGGTCAAGCCCTTTGTGCAATCACACCAGGCTTGAGTCTGCAAGCAAGTGATGGAGCAGTCAAGTAGTTGGGGGTTACATCTCTAAAGCCTTGGAGAAGTCTGTTCAGAAACAGAGATACATTTTATAGTTCTGGAAAAGGATTTCTAAATTGTGTCATTCAACATTCTCCTTTCAATGAAGGTTATTCCTTTTAATTAGATTTGTACACATTATGCCCTCAACACCTGTCCAAATCTGCTTCTGAAACTGCAGTACATCTGCTAATTATGGAAATTGATCGTAAACAACATAATTCCATTTAATCAGAGATAGTAGGAACTGCAGATGCTGGAGAATCCGAGACAACAAGGTGCAGGGCTGGATGAACACAGCAGGCCAAGCAGCATCATAGGAGCAGAGAGGCTGACGTTTCGGGCCTAGACCCTTCATCAGAAAAGGGGGAGGGGAAGGGGGTTTTGAAATAAATAGGGAGAGAGTGGGAGGCGGATAGAAGAG